CCTTGAAATGTAAGTATAGTCGTTTTAGGTGTGATTGATAGAATTTTATCTCTGTGAATGTTTTAATTTGAGCATATAGTTTGTAAAATTGAACATGTTACTAGTATTCAAGAATTGCAATTTTCAAAATATGCAACAGTGGCGTATATTCCATATAGGCAAAAAGGCTGTAGCCTAAACATCATTTTCTTAGGGATAAAAAAAATTGGTTAGAAAAAAGGAATAAACGATTATAATAATTCTTATCTATTAATTCTATTTTGTTGCAAATGCCAAAATAGCATTCTCAGCAATCCGTACTTTTATACCTATCCAACGTTGACAGTTTTACTATATATTTAATGACAAAACTTCCTATAGTTGGGATTTTTTAAATCCGAAACTCAAGTATTTTATCAAGTCTGTATCAGAGAATTTCAAAATCACCGACAGCAACAGGAGGCCATGATAAGTGCAGGAAATAAAATTAACATTACTGGAAATAAATATTTTGGTTAGTTAGTAGGAAATTAAATGTACTGATCGTATTTAGATTATTCAGTAAGGAAGTTTCCATATTTTCTAAGTAGAGTAAAAATAAGTTAAAAGTTCTCAATTTTGTTAAGTAGTCTTCATATCATGATATAAACTAAAAAAATGTTTACAATATTATTTTCACTTGTCAAATTGTAGACGACAATCGTATCTATGTCATCTACAATTACTGGAACTATAGTTTTGGTTAGTAGGAAATTAAATGTATTGATTGTATTTAGATTATTCAGTAAGGAAGTTTGCATATTTTCTAAGTAGAGTAAAAATAAGTTAAAAGTTCTCAATTTTTTTAAGTAGTCTTCATATCATGATATAAACTGAAACTGAAACGTTAACAATATTATTTTTACTTGTCAAATTGTAGATGACAATCGTAGATGTCTTCGCAAAAAAGATCTCACCGACTCCCCCCCCCCCCCCCCCCAAATCCCTATATATCGAGGGGGGCGACCTTCTCTTTGCCTACCCACATTCTGCACCTCGGGTTAAATCTCTGACTTCTCACTAGCCTACACATTAGCAGATAGGAATATACGCCACTGATGCATGTATATTTATTAGATCTGGTTAAATTATAATAACTTATAAGTAGTAAGTGACATCATTTTTGAACGGATTAAACTCATATATTTTTTATATCATTTATAGCATCTGGTGGGGAGAAAACCCTTTGTGTTACAAGACCATTGATGTTTGGAATTTAATGGACAGTGAGCGATTTATCTCAATTATCAGTGTGAGAGACATGGAATTTACAGACAAAGAAACAATAACATGAACAGGAAAAAAGGAGTGAATGGTTCAGAAGTAATATGTGGCAGGAGAACATTCCAAAGTTTCACAAATTTGAACACTGGGACTCTTATTCTAGAGGAATATTATACAGTGATTGAAGTGATATGGGATAGACTTGAGAAAACATTGAACTACTTTTATTTCCCTCTGTTGATTTCATTCCATAGGAACGACAAAAAATAAAACATTCGTTTGTGGAACAAGCTAATTTACCATGCAGGATTTATTCAATCAATTGTGTTTTAATCGTAATTATGGAAATAAAAAGGTTACAGGAATTCATATTGTTGAACTTAAATAATTCAATCGCCGATCATTTGCCAACATGTTTATAGAACGTAGGGCCAACGTTGGTCCAACATTCATTCTTAGCTTTAAAAAACATTGAACAAACATTGGACAAACAGGAAGTTAAACGTTGGGCCAATGCCAGATAACCAACCGTTAAATGTTGTCCCAACGTCGAGCCAACTTGTTGGTTGAATGTTGGGCCGATGAGCAAGATGATGTTGGGCCAACGCATAAAACTGACAAAGGGCCAACGTAATTTTCACCGTTGGGCTTGCGTTGGCCCAACGTAAGCTTGCTATCTGGGGTGCTGTAGGACCGTACCCTGTGCCGATTCAAGCATAATAAAATCTTTATTTTTGTCTATATTTTATCAAAAAAATTAAGATGCACTTAAATATGATGAATAAACATTTGCTCAAAATTTCAGCTTAGTGCGCCCATTATTTTCCGAGAAAAACGTTTTGTCCACGATTTTACCGGACAACCCTCGTATGTTCGACAAATATATACTGAAAGGAAAAAAAAACAACGCAGGGTAAACTTTTGAAGTGATTTAATGTTACATTTTCGAATGTATTTTCCAGTATTGTATTCTAACATTTAAACTCATCCTTTGTCAACAAGTAAGCAAAATCTCATTTGATTTTGACCGATAATTCATGAGTTATTGAAACTTAAAGGACGGTACCCCCAAAAGTGAAAATCGAAAATTCTCATTATCTCCTATGCCTCCTTCGCATATCTGTCACAGCCTTAATTCTCCTCTGCATGGAGTTTATAAGGGCATTTATCTTTCTCATAGGGATGTTATTCAACCCTTTCGACAAGGCAGCGTTCAGTTGGTCGAGAGTAGCTTAGACATTCCGACGTCTTAAAACCCTACCGTCCAGTTATTCCCACATATATTCAACTGAAGAAATTGTACGAACACCAATCGAGTGGGTTAATGTGAATGTTTTCGAGAAAGTCTTGACAAATTCTGGCTACATTGGGCCATGGGTAAACATGCTGAAAAATTATGCATAACGCGCACACGCGCGCGGATTAGAGGAACACTGACGTAAAGTTGACAAGCTCACAAACCAGAATCGCGCAATGAGTTTCTTTCAGTTTTTGGGTAAATGTAACGATTATGATTGCCTTTTGTATTGTTAGTGGCTTCAATGGTTGTAAGTGGCGATTACATACATATGTAGATGGCAGGATGAATAGCCCAGTCTTGACGTGGCGTTGTTAGGCGCCAACGTCATTGTCACGGTTGATTGGAAACCTTTCCAACCCCTCTCTGACGTTCTATAGTGAAAAAATTCACAACAAACTGCATAGCAACCTGTTCTCTCCTTTTTCGTTACATATGCAATGCAATAGCCAGACCCCATGGAACTTCCGTCAGCCACACCATGATTACAAAAAAATTCAAATTGTCTTTAAATATCGAAAAACAATGTGTATATCTTCAGTGCGTCAAGTGGTATTACAAGATGTGTTGACAAACCTGTCATCATCAACATGCACGTGTTTTTGGCTTTTTACCATTTTCCCTACGTGGCGTCATACATTTCACGGTCGAGTAATTCTGAACACTGTGGACAGTCAGTTACCAAAATATCCCTTTGACCAGATTTCGTAAATGCCGGCAATGCAGTCAAAAACTTTTCGCATATTATGTAACCCTGCGTTTCTTTTTCCTTTCAGTATATATTGACAGAGCAAGTAGTGAACAAGTAACTTTAGATCATTGGCATACATACAAAGTACAACATTTACTGTTACAACAAAAATCTTGCTCAAGACCAGTACCAAAAGTGATGATTATTAATTTCACAATATTATTTGATCAGACTAGACACACTATGCCCTCCTCGTCACATTGTTTAAATGTATAATTGTTTAGACTTGATAGATATATGTTTAGAATTATGTCATCTTTTAGTGATACTTCCCATCAAATATTGAGGAAATAAAAAATGACATTTTCGTTTCAAGATTAACCCCGATAGCTGGTTTAATCGTATATGTACCACTTAATAATTTCCTGATATTTTTGGTTTCTATCATACTTTTTTGAATGATTTTTATCACTTGACTTTCTTATCTCTGTATAGGAAACTCCATTGATTTTTTTTTCAGTATTGTATTTTGAAGTGCATTTTATCACAGTATAATAACTTAAAGTTTAAAAATGCAAAACATATAATTCTTTAGGGAGAATCATAACGTTTATACTCTAAAGAAATTGATTTCTTATTTTGTACATTTTTTTTTATTGTATTTCATATCAAATCAGAAATTACATGATCCCTGCATTAGAGTCCACCTTTTGCTCAATGTTCATTCAAAATTTTAAAGGAACAAAACAGATGATATGAAAAACAATGAATTTACATCCTTGTTTGTTTATCTTATCATGAATTATATGAATACATAGAAATAAGTGCAAAATGTTTTTTATTTCCTCAACATTTGATGGGAAGTATCAGTAAACGATGAGATAATTCTAAACATATATTTGTTTATCTTATCATGAGTTATATGAACACTAGTACACAGAAAGTAAGTCAGATCTTTCAACTGATATTTGAATCTTAATTTAGTGGACGATTAATTTGTATGGCTTATTAAATATCGTATTTTGCAATTTTGTGATTGTAAAAAGGTGATAAGTATATATTGAAATAACCTATAACTAACATGCTCTACGTATGAAAATTTCTAAAACGAGGCAAGCTATTGACAAACAAGTTGATGAAACAGGGATATCAACAGTCTCGTCTGAGGTCATCATTTCGCAAGTTTTATGGTAAAAAGTGACCTTATCAGCAAATACAACCTATCTGTGAGTCAAATGCTGACAGACTTTTTTTATACTAATTGTTTAGCCATTTTTTTTACACACTGAATTGTCTATGGATTTTCCCGCTTTTCCCAATCATGATAAGGAGCACAGGCAGGTGTGACCATTCGGCAGGGGGTGCTCTCTCCTCCATGGCACCTGATCCCATCTCTGATGTTTTTAAGAGGTCCGTGTTTGCTCTGCTATAAATTTGTATTGTTTCAATGGATTTTGAGATTGATTACTGTGCGTTATCTTCATATTTCATACTAACATATGTTTATAAGAAAGTCATTTTCTGTTGCATGTAATGTAAGTAAAGAACTTTCCACCTTATTCAATATTATGATAACTGATGTTGATGTCTATTGGAGTTAAAGGTTCGAAACTTTCGATATTCCTAGGATATGGAATTTTGAAATACAATGTGGGTACCACATTTCTTTGCAGACGCTGAACTTTTTAACAAGTTGATAAGGTATATTTTATGTAAATTATTTAGGATACAGTAAACAGATAGACATATTTAATGAGAAAATGAAGTTACTTGTGCTGCAATCTTTTGTGATATCATTCCACATATAACCATTACAGCACTCAAATTCTCCACTTTTTCTACAAATAAGAAACTTTAGTTAGATAATATATGGCATCATTTTTCCAGAAAAATTTTAGATAATATTTTTAAAATATTTCTTAAAGCAATTTTGTAAAGAGTGGACACTTGAGTATAGAGAATGCACGATTCTTGGGGCGGGGCATGTACCAGCATGCACAAAGAGACTTTTGTTAAGGGAATTGTAATCGTGCATCTGAAGAAAAAAATCATCATATAGTACACTGTTAGTCTAATTTTGAATATATCAAGTACACTTTTTTTATTTTGTCGCAACTTGACTTATTTATTGTTACTTAAATCCAAATATCAAACCATTTTTTCCGGGTAAATTTATTAGTTTGAATAGAATATCAACATTAAGAACGGGCAAGTAAACAGGTGTTTGATAATGCTTCAAGCAAAATGGCCACCTGCATGTCATATGTTTCACATTTATTTTCATTATCCAAAGTAATTTATATTAAATTGACCGGGCGTGGTCAGATGAACTTTAGACTGATATGCTCGATTCCAGAATGAAGGATAGCAGTATATGTATCTTTTTGAATCTTCTGAATCGCCTTCCCTTTTTATTTTTCAAAAAGGGATCCCTACTGACTCATGCGGTCAGCTTCTGCTTTTTTAACGACCCGCTCAAACTGAAAAGTCAAATGATGGAATCATTAAGATGGTATCTAAAAGTTTACCCTGCCCCGGCTCATCTTATCATGTAAGACAATAGTAGTGTAGAATAATACTACAATTCTTCATTATTCCCCAATGGATAATACATACCCTAGACATTGCAAAGCCTCTGTCCCTTCAAACAACAATGGCAAAAATATCAGCATGGCCAGTAGTGTTATTCCATTAAAAAATGGCGAATATTTTTTTTGATCAAATACTTAAGATCAAGAACAATGATCGAGGTATACAAAATTAAATCTATGAAAGCTTTTTAATGATGCTTTACGCATAATCTGTCTCTACGAGGAAATGAAATCTAAATCGGGGCAACATCCTTTTTAAAAACACTTAATATTGTCATTTCACATAAAAGCACATAGACATTGTTTAGGAAAATTAAACCAATTATGGTTATGTTCAAGCACAAATGTAAACCTACGTTTGGTCCATGGAATTATTTTGAGGTTAACATTTGGAATACTTGTAATTTTAAAAAATCATTTGCTGCACCATAGATTGTTTAAAACCATTTTTGGATGTTTTGACCTTTGACTATTTCATCTTCTATGAAATAATAACAATCATTGATACATCTTCAGTTCCCATTAAGGAAAGATGATACAAACAACCTTTTTATCAAAAATCATGAAAATAACAACTTACTCATGTTTATAAAAGTAAAAAGAATAAGTTTAATCGCGTAGATTTTAGTTTTTATTCAAAGTTTCAGAATAATGTGATTTTAAAGTGACAAAAAGTTTATAAAAGTTTTATATAACTCCCCTTAATTAGTAAACAGCGATAAAACAATAGGATGTATTTATATAATGCTCTCGGCGCAACACAATTTAAATTTTACTCAATCTTAAAGTTTATTGATTCAATGAAATGAACAAAACTGACAAACGAATTGAGTTCTTGTTTAAAAAAAAATGTTCTAGTCGAGGATCAAACCAAAAAAAAAAAAAACCGTTTTCACCGTCATGGACAGGAAACTATAATCATTATACCACTCTTATATCGATCGTTCCATTACACTAATACTGGGTCTCAAAACAACAATGAAGCAGTACTTTTACAAAATGTGACTTCGCTGGAACTGCTGAATCAATTTTAACCAATTTTAGTACTTGACATCTATGGGAAAATGAAAACAAAAGTCGTACATTTCATGCTCTCTGTACCCCTGTAGCCTGAAAGGTGGGGGGGGGGGGGGTTGGGGGGTTGGGGGGGCAAAACCATCAAAATCATAGCAATTTTCCAAAATCGTCTTTTTACTCCTGGACATCAAGCTGTCAAAGTGTTGAAATGATTATGATAAATATTGAGCTCTCTGTCAAAATTGTGAAATGCACAATTTCCCTGAGTCAGGGGTTCTAATATGGTGTAAGGGCGGGGCTCTATCAATCATAATGTAAGAATAATCCAATTCTTCGAAAATATTAATCTTATGTTTAGCAGATAAACTAATGATCAAGGGTTCCTCTTCCAAAATTGTGAAAGTCTTGACCCCTGAGTCAGGGATTCTAGTGTTAGGGAGGGTCTCTGTTGTTCCTTGATGGAAATGAATTTATTCTTTGAAAATCAGTTTCTCTTCTCCTGGACAGCAAGAGGCAAACAGAGTATATTATTGTAATGAACAAGGGTGTTTAACATATTTGTGAAATTTGTGACCACTGGGTCAGGGGGGCTCTGGTGCTTGGCAGAGCTGTACTGTTCATGTGAGGATATATATCTGTTTTCTGCTTTGAAAGAAGTTCTTTCCCTTTCTTATATATCTGAGATTATTTATTACTGTACGTGATGTAATTGATAGGTCAATTGAATAAAAGAATTATGCAAGATTTTTTAATATAATACAAAAAGGATTTAAAAATTTCTTAGCATTTAAAGGTCAGATAAACTTGTAAATAAAAGATGAATAAAAATGAGATTAAAATACCTTATGTTTATTCATAGACCAAGAGAGGATAAAATAAGGGTTCCTTGGGTGTATACTGTGTTTCATGCTGTGTTTTAAACACTATTGTGTTTCATGCTGTGTTTCAAACACTATTGTGTTTTTCAGTATGTAATGATTACAAATGAGGTTATAGTTATATAGCAATGGTGTTGCTTATTACTAAACTAACTACTACTATTTTTTTTGATGTCCTATTTCTCTTATTGAGCAATTTATCTTCATGTATCAGTTTATTTTGCCTTAGAACATAATTATTAAATTGCTTTTCTATTGATCCTTTCATGGTTTTATAATATACAAGTGTCTATTACGGCCCTTGATCACCTTTTAAAATCGAGGAGAGACGATTAATACTCCCACGAATCCTCCGATAGCAAATTTATAGAAAGGCGTGTTAAACAATAAAACAGGCGGTACCAAAAAGACTCATATGCATATAGTCATATTTTATTAACTCCTTTTGCAAATCAAAACACAATTTTGGGATAATATTTTTTTCTTTTGTTTATATCACAGGAAACCGATATATCAGTAGAATGCTAAAATATCATGTTGACGGATCTATGAAATTTTCACATTTCAAGTTCGCCCAGATTTCTACCGAATCCTAATCAAAGGTGCCCTTGTTCTTCAGGTGGATTCTAGTGCAGTTTTGTGTTGTGGATTTTATTTATTTTTTCACCAATATTTGGATTACAGAAGAAAGCTCATTGTTATACCTTCTACATGTTAACGTACATTAACGACAAAATCTTGCTCTAAATACGAATGTATGTACCAAAAGTGATATTCAATTCACAATATTTTCATTTGCTGTGTTTTTCTACTAAGCCAACTGTGCAATTGATTTGAAAGTCATTTTTGTGTATACTCACGCATAGAAATATGCACGATAAAACTCGCGCTAAAATGACGTCACAATGAGGCTACAAAGACGTAAATAAAAATGTTACGATATAGGGCAGCAAGAAATTCAAATATTAAGTATATTATTGGTGCTTTAAAACTTGTAAAATGTAAATATAAGGAATGTTTTTAAGTTTAGTGTGAATTATTGGTGTGTCAATCACACAGACTTGCACGAAGGCATATTTTTCAGGAAGCTCGCTAGCCTACGTGACAAGTCTGTGTGATTTACACACCAATAACGCACACAAAACTTAAAAACATTCCTTAAATATTATTTTAACAACTCTTATTTTAAAAATAAATAAAAACTACAAGAATTAGATATATTTTGACATCCTTGTTGTATTGTTATATAAGAATTAATTTAGAATTATGTCATTTTTAATGACACTTCTCACCAAACGTTGAAGAAATAAAAAAAATGATATTTTTGTTTCAAGATTGACCCCTACATCTTGTTTACTAATACACGGATCACTTGTTAATTTCCTAATATGTATTGTTTTTATCATACTTTTAAAATATATAGTATAAATATGTAATTGAACGACTAACATAACTTGATATTTTTGTTGTATAGGGAACTGATTGATTAGGGTTTAACGCCGAGTCGGCAATATTTCAGCCATATTCCGAAACTCTATGGAGCTTTATTTTTTTCCTTTTAGATTTTGAAGCATAATTTATCATGATGGACACAATATTTCAACTCATATATTAAAATACATTATTATAAGTGAACCAATGATGCTTTTACTCTAAAGAATTTTATTTCTTTTTGCAATTGTTTTATTTTTCTTTCGTTTGTTTTTGTTGTAATTTCAGCGCACTTTTTCCCTGCATCAAAGTCCATCGTTTGCTCAATTTCATTTAGAATTTAAAGAAACAAGACAAAAGAAATGAAGAACAGTTAACTGACATCCCTGCTTATATGTCATCATGAAGTATTTGAAGAAAGAAAATAAGTGCAATCTTTAAAATGATATAACAAACATGATTTAGTGGAAGATTAATATATGCATTGCTCTTTGAAGAACGTCTTTCGCGCTTTTGTGGTTGTAAAAAGGTGACTAGTATATACTGAAATATTCTTTCCACAATACAAAGCATATGCTTGAATTTGGTGGAAACTCCGTGTATATGCATTCTGTTACATACCTGATATATTAGTTTTTTTAACCTTTAACTCGCATATACGAGTGTTGTTCCATAAATAATGTCACAACTACTATAAATCTTTAATAATCAAATGTTTTCAACAAAACTTTATATACTAATACCTCTATCTATTTTGACTTTTGCCCTAAAATTTCACTCAGATATATACAATACTTTATAAAATACTATTATAAACTCAACGTTGGGTCTCGTTATCGCAGCACGGCAAGAATGTACAAAGTCGTTACATGTATGACGTTTCTCTTCGACACTCATTTTGAATCTGATGATACATAAGATTTACGCACAAAGGAGTGAATTGAGAAATAACATTTGGACAAAGTTCAAATAGTTTAAATACTACAACTAAAACAAGACAGTTTATAGCAAAACGGATTGCAGTAAAGAATATTAAAAGAAGAGAAGTTAAAAAGATATGCGGATGAACTGAAAATGAGTGTAATGTCATAACGACGCCAGTATCATTCTTGCCGTATAGCGACAGACAAAACTAAACCCTGCTTTTATCTTAATATTTTTAAAAAAATATTTTATGTAAACAGATGAAATTTTAAGACAAAAAATCAAAATTAGATAGGGGTATTAGTATGTAAAATTTTGTTGATAACATTGGATTAATAAAGATTTTAAAGCAGTTTTGACATTTGGATCAACCCTCGTGTGCATATATGTCATTTCTTGTTACCTGTACATATAAGCAAATAATTTCCACCTAACTCAAGATATGTTGCGTTGATGTTTATGTGCGTTAAAGTTTGGAACTACATGTATCAAATGAATACTTTGAAGATACGGGATTGAAAAATACAATATAAATTCAACAATATGACTTCATTGGTCTCTTTGCAGATACTGAATTTTGATCAAGTTAAAGAGCCATACTTTAATTAATTAATTTGAGATGCAGTAAATAGACTTAATTAATTAGAAAATGAAGTTACTTCTGCTGCAATCTTAAGTGATATCATTCCACATATAACCATTACAACAATCAAATGCTCCACTTTCGCTACAAGGAAGAAAGAAACTTTAGATACAAATGGCATCATTTTCCAGAACATATTAGATAATTTTTATTAAATAGTATTTCTCGAAGCAATTATTACGCTCTCCATTCTCTAATCCTTCTGTTTTCCTTCAGAATTCATAA